GACCAGAAAATTCCTCTGACGACATCTCAGTGTCATTTTCTCGAGTATAAAACAGAGCCGCCGTGCCTCAGAGAGTGAATGAAGGTTGTCCTAACCGCCGGGCTTTCCTACCCAGACAGAACTAGAACTTTCCGCAGGGAACAGGAGTGAGAGCCACCGGCAGGACTGGATAACCGTGGACAGGTGCTCCTGGATCAGATTCATGCCACAGCCAGCCGTGAGGGCAAAGAAGCGAAGTTCATGGAGGAAAGAATGATGTTGAGAACCAAGGCACCTTCCCAGTTACCTGCCATCGCCACTTGCGGGATACGGGGTGGGCGAGTGCGGAAATGAGGCAAGTAAGCCATGGCAGCTACTGATTTGGGGACACCGGGGATTGGCAGGCAGCCCCCCTGGCCCAGCACCTGGGGAATAAGGGCAGCTGCCCAGGACACATAAAAACACAGTGGAGACCGGAGGAGAGGAGCCTTCTGAATGAGAACGTTAAATATCTGGAACCCAGCGGCAAAGCAAGACATTGCCAAGTGCCACACTGAACACAGGAAAGCTTTCCTGGGCCCTGGATGTGAAGGCCACGAACAATGAAAGGGGAAGCCCGGAGGGAAAGTAACACGGACACTGACGCCTGCACTAGCCCAGTGAAACGCCTTCTGCAGTTCTTACGGGAGGCCAAAGAAACAACAGTCTGGCAGCGGCCCGTCCTCTGTCCTCTGCACCACACCTCCTTCCCCATCTGCATGTTGGGTCAGGAAGGACAGTGGTGGGCCCGGCTCCCTACAAGGGATCAGGACGGTACATCTCAGAACAAAGCCTGTGCTGTTCACCTGCAGAACAAAGTTCGCCCTTAATGAGATGTGTGTTGGGGTTGGGGGGGGCGGGGTGGGGTGGGGGCGCCGACAGGAATGTTGTTCCTTCATTCCATTAAAAAGGGATTATGGGCTGACTGACCAGGTAAGCAGTGTGATCTGTGAACAGAAACTGGGCCTTTGGAAGCGGGACTGTGGTTTAAACAAAAGCCTTAAGAGACACAATCAGCAACTGTTCACTGCAGCAGGGTGGCAAAGCGTGATGTCTGTGTTTGTGCGTGCGTGCAAGGGCGTGTGCAATATTTTCTGCTGTTGCTAAGACGGTTTCCCCCCCTCGCTGGCCTCTCGCCCAATCAAAAGGTAGCTGCTCCTCATTGGCTGCCTGGCTTTATCGAATGACCATGACGAGCTGGGGTTGAGCCCACCTCATTGGTTTATTCCTATGGCCCATTGTCAGGGGAGAGCAAATCAGACACCTAATCAATATTTTGTGAAGTGGCACTAGACTCCTGGCTAAATTTGCATTAAATTCCTCCCTGTCTGTGCCTTTGCACTCAGATAGCATCATATTAACTTCGGAGGTAGAGAGCGAGGCAAACAATCAAACACTGCCATCCTTCAGCCATTTTGGATGTTTTCCTGACTCTTGGCAAAAATTTCAGAATGACAAACACGCACCAGAGGAATTGGTTATAAACAAGATGTAAATCTCCTGAGCAGAAACAAAAACATAACGTAACTAGGCTAGATTAGTGGTGTCCCTTCTAGATGCAGATTGAAATCTTTCCTCCCTCCCTCCCTCAAGTCATCCAACAGATATTTATTGAACACCTACTCTGCGTCGTGTTCTCTTAGGGGCCCCGGATACAGCACTGTGCCAGACAAGAAATGTTTCCTTTCTGGGCTACTCCGTAGCAAAGCAGGGCATGAGAGGGCCAGGGGTCACCATGCTCTATAAACCGTCTCAAAAGGAAACCGGGCTCTGATCATCACTCATGGAATGAGGTGGGACCGAAATTCCGCAGCTGGGTGTCTCCCGGCAGGAGACACGGATTCGGAAGCAAAAGTAGTTCTAGTGACCAGCATTTCCCCAGAATTCTACATAAATCTCAGATAAAACGTGGATGCATGGTGACCTTGAGGAAGATAAAAATGTGCGGTGTTGGGGCACCTGGGTGGCTCAGTCGGTTGAGCATGCGGCTCTTGGCTTCGGCTTAGGTCAAGATCTCACAGTTTAGAGGGTTCGAGCCTGGCCTCAGGTTCTATGCTGGCAGGGTTGGAGCCTGCTTGGGATTCTCTCTCTCTCTCTCTCTCTCTCTCTCTCTCTCTCTGTCTCTGCACCTCCCCCACTCATGCTGGCTCTCAAAATAAATAAATAAATAAAAACTTAAAAAAATTTTTAAATATAATAAAACAATTGTGGTGTTAATAAATTTCCTCTCTTTCAAAGAGAAAATAGAAGCAACCAGAAAAGAAATTTCACATGCCCTCCACAATGTCTCAGCAGCTCACCCATGTCTGTGTTCCCTCCTGCTACAAGGAACAAAAAAAATTGTGTTTTCATCAAACCAACCCATTTTATTTATGTGCTTACCCCATCCCCCTTCACCCAGCTCAAGAATTCCTATAATTCTCACCGCATTCTCCTACATCATCGATTTTTCAAATCTCCCCTCTCTTCTGGTCATTTCACATCGTGAAAATATTCTGCAATATCCTCTTCTTTAAAAAATGAAGACGGGGCACCTGGGTGGCTCAGTCAGTTGAGCGTCCAACTTCGGCTCGGGTCCTGATCTCACAGCTCGTGAGTTCGAGCCGCACGTCGGGCTCTTTGCTGACAGCTGGAACCTGCTTCGGATTCTGTGTCTCCCTCTCCCTCTGCCCCTAACCCACTCGCATTCTGTCTCTGTCTCTCAAAAATAAATAAACATTAAAAAATTGTTTTAAATGAGGATAATAAAGAAAGACACCTCTTTATGGATCCAGGCTGATGTTCAACTAAAACACACTGGTACCACCATGTTGACTGATAAAGTACTGAGACACTTCTAGGCCTGTCGGTATGCAACCACTGCCCTGAGCTTCCCAAGTCTCCCCTCTCCCATTTTCTTTCAACCCAACCCCTCCCCCGGGACCTCATGGGCATTCCATAATCCAGCAACCAAAGGCTTAAAGTCTGATCAGCAGGGCCCTCCAAGACCCTGCTCCAGACCTGTAGCCAGCATCCCATCTGACTCAGCAGTGCCTGGGCCATAAGTGCGTGCTTGCTCACACCCTACATTTCAAGTCGTTACCCCCTGCCCCATTACTTTCCTCCCCTTTAAAACGAAACCCTTGTAAGAGATGTCTGTTCTCACTCTCTCTATCTCTCCTCCTCTTTTGTTTTGAACGCCATCCAATCAGTGGTCACCTTCCCAGTGTTTCCAGGATCACAGTTTTTGTCAAGGTTATCAATAAGACTTTGCCAAATCTAAAGATCAGTCCTCAGTCCTCCTCCTATTGGGCTTACTGGCAACGTTTGACACAGCGAACCACTCCCTCTTCCTCTTCTCGAAACCTCTTAATTTTTTCTCTTTCTTGTCTCTGAGACGCCAGTCTCTCTTCGAGTTCTCCTCCTTCTTCTCGGTCTCCTTCGGTCCTCCTTTGCTGATTCCTTCTTGTCTTCTTGACCGCTAAACGTTGCAGCGTTTGAGGGCTCACACTTGAGACCTCGTCTCCTTTTCTCTCTACGTCCACTCTCTGGTGATCTCTCCCAGTCATTTGACACTGAACCCCATCTAGCCACCAACGATAGTCAAATTCCTATCTCCTCCTTCAAGGTTTGTCCCGAAATCTAGATTCAAATCTTGGGTATTTAATAGAAGTCTCAAATTTAAGTCACATAAAATTGTATCCCTGATCTTCCCCCTCAAAAGTTTTCCCCTGCTCCTGGTTTTCTTCATCTCAGTAAGTGCTGACATCATTTTTCTCATGGCTCAGTCCCCAAACCCTCGGATTAGGGCCTGATTCTTCTCCTTTTCTCATACCACACTACAACCCACCAGCAAATTCTGTCATGCCAGCTTCAAATCGGGTCCAGAATCCAATCGTTTCTCACCATCTCCCACCACAGCCGTTTAAGACCAAATCACTGTAATGTCACCCTTTTATTATCACAGAGACTATCCAAAGGCCTCCCTGCTTTCACCTTTGCCCCCTTAACCATCTGTCCTCCACATAAGGCGGAATAAGTCGCTTCAAATAGAGTCAGTTCATGATACTCCTCTGATCAAAGTTTTCAGAAGCCTTCCATTTCCTCCAGAATAAAACTCAAAGTCTATATGCTATTCCTAGGCAGTGAAAGGCACAGTTAACTATGAGACAGTTGCACTCAAGGAGTCCACTGTTCATGAGCTGGATTCCAGCTTTACTTTCCTGTGTGGCCATCTTGCAGATACGTTGTTAATCACAAGAAAGACTGGGTGAGAATATGAATGATGTAGTATACAAGTCTAAAAACAAACAAAAGCAATTTGTGTGCAGCTGAAATCTAATTGGTCAGTTATAAGCTGAACCATTTTATTTAAGGGCAATATAGTCCCTTCATATGCATTAAAATGATTTCACTTTGTCTTCACTGACATCCTCGGCTGATGTTAAATCATACCTAATTTCCAACATACATAGTGAGCACTCAAAATACCTGGGGAATAAATTAATGCTCAGGAAATAAACTTATTTCTTACCTGTGATGATGGCAAGGAGAACCAGGAAGTGACTATCTACTCCATAAGGTCTAGTATTTCATTTACTTAAATTATCTTTTTATTATTTTTTTAGAGGGAGAATCCCAAGGAAGCCAGCGCAGAGCCCGACACAGGGCTCAAACCCACGAACCGTGAGATCATGACCCGAGCTGAAACCAAGGGTCAGGCGCTTAACCGACTGAGCCAACCGGGAGCCCCTCAACTTTATTAATTCTAATTTAAAGGTGGAGCCACAGTTGTGTGGCTCAGGAAAGTTGAATGGCTTTCTCAAAGTATCCTAACAAGTGGCAGTTTCAGACTTGAACAGTGGTCTGAATGGCTTCAACACCTGTGCCTTTGCCATAGTCATCTCATGATGAGTCACTGCACTATCCCTCTGATTTTCTTTCTCTTTCTTTCTTTTTTTCTTTTTGTAACAACTGATAATCAGTTCATTCAGAAAGCTGATTTAAGCGTCAGCACTGGTGACTTCAACCTCGACTCCTGGCTCGAGACCGATGGAAGTAATCTGCAGAACAATCTCAGAAGGACTGTGCAAATCAATGAGTCGCCTGCAGCTCCTCACCTGAAAACAATCCCAAGTCTTAGAACCTTCACCACGAAGAGTTTTTCTTGTAGTGATTCTCAGAGTCTTGGTAGGCATCCAAACTGGTTCTTTCACGACGAGATTCTCTTTCTTTGCGCCTCTGAGCAGGTCAGCACGTACCCTCTCCAATGACTGCATGTTGCAGCTGGTTAGAGTAATTCTAATCTGGTGAATCACCACCTCAGGTTCCCCGGGTATCTTCCCAGGGTCTTTAAAAGTGTGTTCCTCGGCCAGATTGAACAGTGATGAATCAGGAGCTGGAGGGGGCCATCCAGAGCTCCACTCTCAGCTGCAACCATGCCTTCTTCAAAGAGTCTCTATGACACTCTTAATATAATGCTCTGATCCATTAATGTCTGCACAGACCCCCAAGATCACTGAAAACTGAGAGGCAGCTCATCTGTCCTTAGTTTATGGATGGGCATGCTTAGCTCCAGAGGGGCTCAAGGTCAAGTAAGGAAATGGAAAGTGCAGTCTCTTGCTTTCTTCTCTCAGTCCCTCCTTATTGGTGTCTCATGCTATCTTACCCACAGTTTTCTTAGTTAAGTGAATTGGACCACTGACCCTTTGAGTTCCAGAACCGATTTCCTAGTCTATAGCCTCACTTATTTTATAGCTTATTAATCATCTTTCTCACACACAATGCTTTAAAAAGCCAATTCCCGGGGCGCCTGGGTGGCGCAGTCGGTTAAGCGTCCGACTTCAGCCAGGTCATGATCTCGCGGTCCGTGAGTTCGAGCCCCGCGTCAGGCTCTGGGCTGATGGCTCGGAGCCTGGAGCCTGTTTCCGATTCTGTGTCTCCCTCTCTCTCTGCCCCTCCCCCATTCATGCTCTGTCTCTCTCTGTCCCAAAAATAAATAAAAAACGTTGAAAAAAAAATTAAAAAAAAAAAGCCAATTCCCCATCTTCTGGAAGGTAGGAATATAATGTTATTTTCTGAAGATGCCCCCAAGCCCATGGGAGTCTGAGTCCAATCTGTCAGTCCTCTGATGTCAAATTTTCAATCAGGCATTGGCTTGTAATATGAAAAGACTAAACACATTTGTGCACATGAACTTGTATATTCTCACATAAGCAAATAACGAAAATATTCAGTGGGATGAAAATCCCCTAGATCGCACGGTATTTTTGAGACTCAAGTTTCTATTAAGTAATCACGATCTACCCCTACTCACACACACAGAAATGCCCCCTTTTGTCAGTAGTTTCTGCGTTGAATGGTAATTCTACGGTCAAGGGCAAGAGCCGAAGAGGAGAATCCTACTGAGGAAACAGAACGGTAGAAAAACAGTGTGTAGCCTCTGGCCCAAAAAGACTGACCTCGGAAGCCGGGTGAATATGAAGCCCTAGCTGGCTGAGCGGGTCAAGATGAAAGCATAGTTATTAGAAGAAGCACAGCTTCATTTCAATTCTCCAAAGTAGAAAACAGTAATTCACAGAGAGCTCTGTGATGGGGTCAATGCCATGGAATGAATAAACGAATGAATGATCATTCGGTCATTCAACAAGTATACCTGCTGTTTTCAAGTCACTGTTGTCAGTGTTACAAAGGGAAATCCTTTGTGAAATGTTCCATTGTAAGTACAAGTTGTATATAAATAGCCACTTTGATTGAACTTTGCTCCTAGGCACTTCAGTGCTTGTAAACCTGTTCAGCCTGCCGAACGCAAACCCTCCTGGGAAAATCAGAGCCGGCAAAATACTAGCACAGCAACAATCCCTTTAGTACAGACCACAGAAAGAATTTTAACACATAAAAACACACAATCAAGACAATGAAAATGGGTAAACCTCTTTTAAATGAATTACTAAGATGATATGCTCCTTGGAGGAAATATTTTTGAGAGCAAGACAAGTCTAGCAGTTGCTCTAGCTATGTAGCTCCAACTTATGGTCCAGGACCCCGAATAAGGGCATTTTTTTTTAAAGTAGGTTAGTCGGTTTGGCTTGCTAAAATTAATTCAGGAAACTGGCTTTTCAGAAATCAATCCATTTTCTTAAGATAAAGTATACCCTGGGGGTGCCTGCGTGGCTCACTCGGTTGAGCATCCGACTCTTGATTTCGGCTCAGGTCATGATCTCATGGTTCGTGAGTTCGAGCACCGTGTTGGGCGCTGTGATGACAGGGTGGATCCTGCTTCAGATTCTCTCTCTCCCTCTCCCTCTGTCCCTCCCCAGCTGGCGCACTCTCTCTCTCTCAAATAAATAAGCTTAAAAAAAAAAGATCAAGTATACCCCAGAAATACAATAGATGCTGTCACATTCATATAGTTAATGTGCTTTTTTTCTAAGTATTTTCCATGTGTGACATGCTCATAGGATTCCTGAGGGCAACATTAGAGATAAATTTTTTGGAGTCCAAAATCTAAATCCATGGCCTCACCAGTGGAAACACTTGTGTGGAATGGTAAAAGGTTACCATCACACCAAACAGCAAGGGCGTGTGTATGTTGGGGAGCTACCAACCCATATGAGCCAGAGTTGGTAATTTTTTGGTAGATCCAGTCTGATCCTCCCAGTACCTCCATGAAAACTGTAGGGTTCTGCAGAGAACAAGTCTGAACACCACTGGCCTACGTCCTCATTTCTCAGAGAGAGAAACTAAGGCCGAGAAAGACAAAATGCCTCGTCCAAAATCACATAACCAGTTATTGCTGAGTTAGAACTAGTTTCCTGATTCCCAAGGTAGCGCTTTTCCTCCATCTAGACTCCTCTTAATTTCAGAGCCTACTGCAGTCTCCCTACAGCAAAATTTCCTCTCTATTTCAGGCAACCAGAGCAGGCCAGGTTGGGTCTGAGCCACCCAAGGCCATTTGTCAGTCTCCCACCAGGCAATGCCAACCCCAGCATCTGGTCCTGGTCCCTAGGACTTATGCTCTCGTAATTAAAGAGCTGGCATATATAAACAAACTGTAACCTGAGCACCGCATGGTCAGTAAGTAGAGGTCAAGCATGGATGGAAGCTGACTCACAAGGTAAGAAGGAGTCAGTTTCCTAATTTCCAGCCTTGTTTGTCTCTGGTGACAGGTACATAAATATTGTAATTGCTACAAAGAACCTTTTATAACTCTTAACCCAAAATATTCCTCACCCCCACAGCAAGTTTAACAAAACTTAACGCTATCCCATTTTGGCTAGGTGGGACTGTGTGTGGGCCAGGGGTTTGAGTTGGGGTTTGATTACTCAGTGAGACATGCCAGGGGCAGCATGGGGAGAAAACTCTTTGTGGCTCTTGGTGGAACACAAGGACAACCTTATTGGCTCAGACTATATAGGACTGTATAGGACTTTACCAGTTCTCTTCCTGGGACGGGTACCATTCCCAAGAGGCCCCACCCAGACAAGACTTGAAAGGTCCGCAGCAACAGCAGCAGCGTAACCTGAGACCTGTGCTATTTTTCCAATTGTTGCCCTCAGGTCGGGCCCATTTTGACACACCAACAAGTTGTATTTCCCTCCTTGTGAAACGGTCTAGACACAGACGACTCAAACCGTGGTCCAGGGCATCTCCCTCACCTGAAAGCTTTGTGAAACAGGAGGGATGTCAAACCCCAACCCCAGACTGAATGAATCAGAACCTACAATTTAGTCAGATCTCCGGGTGACTGGTGTGCACCTCAAATGTGGGAGGGAATGATCTAGAGACGGAGACCAATACTCTCTGGATGCACCATTAGCTCCATCAATAAATTTTCAGTTAGTGAACCTCCTTGGGTTTTTCTGTGAATTTAAATGGAGAAAAGACCCCAATGAAATCCAAAATCCCCTTAAGATGTATTCGTTTTTTGTTCTAGGAGGTTTTTTCCTCTGAGGGCTATTGGGGCACAATTTGCTTTGGATCACCAGTAAGGACCCGAAGCAGAACTATACATCACAGACTGTGATAACCAACAGTAAATGTATTTGGCATTAAGCACTTCTCCTTCACATCTAGACATCCAGCTGGCTACCAAGTCCTTCTGATTTTGCCTCCTAAATGATTTTTTTTAAATATTCATTTATTTATTTCAAGTATAATTAATATACGGTGTTGTAGTGATTTCAGAAATATGCACCCCTGTGTTTATTGCAGCATTATTCACAATCATCAAGATATTGAAGGAACCCAAGTGTCCCTCAATAGATGAATGGATAAGGAAAATGTGCTATATATACATATTGGAATATTACTCAGCCATTAAAAATGAAATCTTGCCATTTGCAACCACATGGATGCTCCTAAATGATTTTTTAAATCCTCCTTTCTATCCCCCTTGCCCTGCTTTAGCTTAGGTCCTTACCATATATGATGTGCACATTAAAACAGTCTCTCAACTTCACACCCAGTCCCCTTATGTAATATTTTGCTCTCATCCAGTGCCTCCTCCAAACTGTCATCAGAAAGAACATTCTCGAAGGCAAGTTTGATCACATTATCTTCTTTTTTTTTTTAATTTTTTTTTCAACGTTTTTTATTTATTTTTGGGACAGAGAGAGACAGAGCATGAACGGGGGTTGGGGCAGAGAGAGAGGGAGACACAGAATCGGAAACAGGCTCCAGGCTCCGAGCCATCAGCCCAGAGCCTGACGCGGGGCTCGAACTCACGGAGCGCGAGATCGTGACCTGGCTGAAGTCGGACGCTTAACCGACTGCGCCACCCAGGCGCCCCTGATCACATTATCTTCTTAAGTACTCTAATGATTTCTGATAAAGTCAATACTGTCAAGTTTTTCACGCAAGGTCTTTGGTGATACTGCCCTTATGTAGCCACCCAACCCATTTCTCCCACTTTCTACTTTTACACCGACTTCCTAATACACCTGTTTCATGCCTCTCCCTTTTCCCAAGCTGCTTCTCTGCTGCAAATCCTTTTCCCTTCTCTGCCAAACAAACCTCTTCTTATTTTTTAAGACCTTGGATAGACAGTCCCCGATTTATCATGGTTCAGCTGATGATGGTTTGACTCTATGATGGGGATCTGCATTCGGTAGAAACCGTACACAGAATTTTGAATTTGGGTCTTTTCCCTGGCTAGCGCTAGGCAGTACAATCCTCTCTGGAGATACTGGATAGGTAGCAGCAGCCAGTCTCAGCTCCCAGTCAGCCTTGCAATCCCCAGGGTCAACAACCATTACACCGACAACTGTTCTGTACCCACACAACCATGCTCTTTTCACTTTCAGTACAGTATTCATCAAGTTACGTGAGATTTTCCAACACTTTATTACAAAAAAGGCTTCGTGTGAGATGACTGTGCCCAACTGCAGGCTAATGTAAATGTTCTGAGCACATTTAAGGTAGGCGAGGCTCAGCTACGATGTCCGGTGGGTTAGATGTATTAAATATATTTTCAACCGACAATGGATTTACTGGGACGTAACCCCATCGAAAGTCAAGGACGCTCTGGGATTCCTCTTATCACCTCTATCAGCGCTTCTTGACCATGACTCTCTACCACTGAGTAGAGCTGATCATCCTTGGATCCCAACGGCACTTCATGTTTGCCCAATTGGCGGCACTTTCATAAACTGTTTGTCAACTTGTCTCTGTCCTTGTACCAGTTTATGACACCTTGGGGTCAGGAACCATGCCATATTCATCTTGTTCTTCTTGAGTACCAAGTACCCCTGCCAACACATAGTAGGCATTCAGTGCATGTTCGACGAAGGAAATAATGAAAGGGATATAGTCTCTGTGCAAAGTAGGTACCACATTATTCCTTCATATGTGAAGAATACATAGCAACCGCAGATCTAGTGGAAATATTTGCAACGGATTGATCTTTGTGATTCTCCAATGACGGATGTTAAGGAATTGAATTGATATTAATAATGAAATTACCTACGTTAGTTTGGTCACTACCCTAACGGGAAATGATCTACCTCATATCATTTATTAAACATTTAATTGCGTGTGACATATACTCAGCAGAATTATAGCCTCAAGTACAACCAAGCCCTACCTTCTGGGGGCTGTCAGTCTAAGATAGCTAACATGGACACCAGCCACTCTCCCACATGGTCAGAGAACTCTTTCCCTTGGGGCCCGATGGTGTTGGCAGGAGGAGAGAAAGTCAAGAGATGAGGCCAATTAAACAGATGTAGAAATTGGGTCTCGGCCTCTGCTCCCCCATATCCCCACGTTGGGGTTCTTGGGAGCCTCTGCTTCAAGCTCAGCTCAACTGGCCTTCAAGATCGATTTGGGACTCAAGTGGGAAAGCTTTCAAGAGCTCCAACTCAGCAGTCTCCACTCAGCGGTCAAGCTACATTGCACCCTATCTTCCACCCTTCCTTCCTAATTCTCTACTCCTAAAGCCCAGAACCCACCTTCTACTCTGGTTTCTGCTGATGAGAACATGATAATAATACTATTTCACGTGTTAATTCAATCTTACCATGTGCCAGGTACCATTTGGTATACTTTATGTGTATGAAACAAATTTAATCTTCACAACAAACCAATTTACGAAGTACTGAATTACCTACATTTTACAGGTGAGGGAAACACAGAAAAGTCTCCATATATTGTTTACTTGTTGGTCTCTCCTGATCGTGCTCTGTCTAATTACTGCAGATTCCATGCTGTTAACTACTTTGGGCTGCCCTACCCTTCGGATATTATGCTCTGAACTTTGCAGCTGGATCTGCACACCCTCTGTGCCCATGCCACATGTCCCCTGCCACCTCCCAGTCTGGCCATCCCATTCCAGATTAATTTGCTCATTCCAGCCCTGTCCCGAAGAGGAGAGCAAAAGACAGGCATAAGGTCATTTATTTTCCACTCTATTTAATAGGGATACTACATCAATACTCATAGGAAGAATTAGACTCGGGGTGTATAATACGAATAAAACACCAAGTGGTGACAGGCATCCACACCACATAATATCTGAATTAGGGGAAGAGGAAAGACAAGGCACCATTTTTAAGAAGGCACCATTTTGCAGACATTCTCCTAGAAATCCATCTCGGTTCTACAAACCCTTTTTGTAACGAAACACAGGATGTCCATTAGCAAGCTGAAGGATCTACACACCATAAGAAACCAACCATTACCTGGGAGAGCGAACCATGGAAGCACCTGGAACAGATTCCAGATTTTGTCCCTCACACGCCCTTTCAACCGAGTGCACATTCATTGACTCTCACATTTGCATAGTTAGATAATAACAGCTCTCTGTTTCATGCTCAGCACTGAGGTCAATGTCACAAGAAGCTGTTTAGCAACAATTCCCTTTTCAGGAAGTTCTGTGATCAGGTAGAAGACAGGACTTGAAGAAGAAGGAACAGAAGCCACTCACTGCCCTGGGCTTGGAGCTCTAAGACAGACTTCATTTCCAGACACACATATGTACATGGGGTGCCCATCAGTATCCTCTGGGTAACTTTGGTAAACACAGATTAGATTTCATTGGCTTGGTCCAGAGCTCTAAATCAGAATCTGCTAGCCAGATAGAGATAGATAGATAGATAGATAGATAGATAGATATAGAAATAGATAGATGCCAGCCATATAGAGAGATAGATACATATAGATACATAGATATGGTAACATTAGGAAGTACGCTAGAATTCTCATTTTGGAAGAACAAGAACATTAATAGATATATGTTTTCTCCTCCAATAATGTCAGGAAATGTAAATGAGATACTGACAAATTAAACCAAAAAAACTAGGAACACAGGGAGTTGTCCTTAAATCTACAAGTATTTGGTCATGTTCAAATGGGTTCTGAAAAGTCTCATCAATGGTGATGGTTCCTCAAAGACATCTAATTTGAAAGAAGAGGAAAGAAATTAATGTATAGCAGGCCTTGGTGTAAGAGAAACATATTAAAAATTCTTAAATGATAAGAGATAAATTAAGAGTATGATAGGAGTTTTAGAAAAGACTCGTGGCAAGGTTTTTTTGACTGTAGTCCACTAGCTGGTACATTTAAATTGTAGTTTAATTTACAAATATTTGATGAGCATAATTTGAGGAGGGATATATTCATCTGTTTGCTCTATAAAAATAAATCGATGCCTGAATAAGAGTCTAAATCCGCAAAGGTGAATTTTCCAAAGTCACAACACTGAACGGATTAATCTTCTCGTTGCCCATCAACTTCGGCCCCCCTGTTGATGACAGCAGTTGCTTAAACCAGAAACATCATCTAAGACAAAGCTGCAATCATGTGCTAGGTTGCGCGGGTCTTATACAAGCAGGACCTGCACAAAACTTCAGGAGCTTCGGGTCTTTTTTAACCAAGACAGGTCATTAAAAGAAATGAAAAGATGTCTTCTGGAGGCTTAATTAAGGAAGTTAATTCTAGGGCCCATCATAGGCCCATTAACCTTTCTCTGTTCCTAAAATATCTTATGTAATGTCAAAAAGAAGGAAAGATGGGAAAAGGAGCTGTGTAATTAAACCTACTTAACCTTAAAATGGAAATGTGTCAAGGGACAGAAGCAATTGGTATAAAGCTCCTAACCTGTATTTACGACCCCAAAACCCAGAACCCATATGCCCTGTCTTGCTTTGTTTGACTCACATTTTCTTTGCTACGATGTTGGGCAATTTGGCTGGCGAATTCACTCGCTGTGTGAGTGTCTGGCCTGAACCGTAAGTCAGTTCTCAAAATGCCGGAAGTGCAGCACTATGCTGGCACAGGGAACAAATAGCTGACTGGTGTCTATACAGATCTGCTGCCACACATTCTTCTAAAGTTCTTCAAGGCAATGATTTTCCCTGATCCAGGAACTCATTTCTTCCTGAGCCTCTGAGAGTGTGGCCGGGCTGGGGCTGAATTTGGTTTGGGATCCCAGAGTTCCCGATGTAATGTATTATTTTCCACGACGGTACATTGTTAGGCATGGAAATTCTTCCAGAATGCCCATGTATGGCTTGTTATAAAAGGACAGAGGCAGAGCAAGACTTTGCCTGCCGTCTTGACCCCAGCAGAACCTTGCCTGAGGAGTGTTACTGGCCGGTTTCTGCCCCATTGGGGAACCATTGCAAGGCTAGGGCAAGGTCATTACAATGGTTTCTTTCTCTTTGCTTTTTTTCTTTTTATGTTTCATGTTTTTACTTAAATTCCAGTTATTGAATATACAGTGTGATAGTTTCAGGAGTAGAATTTAGTGGTTTCGGTCGCACTTAGTCACCTAGCTTGCTCTGAGTTCTGTGCCTGGGGCTGTATCAGTAGGGAGAGGAGCATTTTCAACCGATCCAAAACCAATCTGAAATGCTACAAGTTCCAAAGCTTAACATAAGCAGTCAGGTCTCTATTAAATGCAAGAAGATCATGAACGCTACAGATCGTTTGTGATGACTTTGTATCCTCCAGGGGCCTCTCAGGACATCTTCTCATATTAGGGTTGACATACAATACAAGACACATGTATTTGTATTTGCTGAATCTGGCAGCCCTACCTGATCTCCAACTGGGAATCATCATCCAACACCATAAAACAGGACATTTTAGAGAGAACTTGGAACCAGCCCCTAAGGCCTCATTTTACATATGAGGAAACCCAGGCCAGTCAGAGACAGTGTTTGGACATGAATTCAGCCTGTTTTATACCCATTTTATCGCCCACCACCCAACCTGTCTATTAATGATGCAGTATTTTTATGGTTGTGATTGTGTTGTTTAACTGAGCTTTCCAAACATCTGACATTTCTTGAACATTACCCACTTCTAGCCTCTCTGCTAAATCCTTTAGCTAGACAAATAGGAGTACTATGCCCTGCCCTAACCCTTATAGCTTCTAGAACTTAAACTGGTTATGTGCCAAGGAAAATAAAAATTTTAATTTTTTGAAGACAGGCAAAATACAGCACCCCAAAATAATTTTTTCAAACCTAAATATAAAGATGCTCTTGTATGGATACTATTTTTTAAAGTGTTTAGGCCTCTGTATCCCTCTATCAGTTAATCATCGATGCTGGTATTCCAGGCAAAAGTCATAAATACAGTCGAATCTCAGCCAAGCATTAGGTCACTCTGTTCTGCAAAATCAGCTGGGAGAGATTATTCAAATCCAGTCGGATCCTGCCTCATACCTTCTTCAGTCGCTATCCTTTCAAAACTTTCTTTATACACCTTTGCTAGAAGATGTGTTATGAAAATCCAATATATATAGAAGTCC